TCTCGATACCCCTACAATGGTGACTCCCGGAGATTAGCACTCACACAGGATGGAGGAGACACTGATCACGCTCCCAGTCTTCAAGCAGACACCGGCTCCTCTTCCTGCCCCACGCACCACATTCTGACGACCCCAGCACACCCGTCTTGCCTCAGACGCCGACCCCGGCCCAGCAGTACCTGCCGTGAGGGAAGCACACAACATCCATCGCCTCCACACCCCCTCTTTTCTCCCTCAGGTACTCCCTGCTAATGTCCTGCACCCTGCTGCTGTCGTGGACCCAGCTGCTGTTACGAGCCCTAATCCGCTTCTGCTGACGCAGCCCCTGCTCCTGACCCAGGCCCACACACACCCCAGCAGGCGCATCTGACGACCCTGTACCTGTCGTGAGGGAAGCACAACATTCATCGCCTCCACACACCCTTTTTCTCCCTTCTCCCACAGATAGTGTGTATCTAGACAGTTGTATTTCAGCGACCGGCTCATCACGCCATCGCCGTTGTCTCACATGAGGCATGCACCGCCCGGTCTTCCTCACATGTGCTAAGCAACTCTACAATCAACAAGTCTCCTACACCGCCTGGAGGGAAGGGGGAGTATTGTAGTGGACGTCTCCCCTACAAACTGCGTAGCAGCCCACCACCTACTACCGTCTTCCCTAGCAACCAAGCGTATCGGCATTCCAATGCCCGCCGTATCCTAGCAACCGAGCCAAAAGGCCGGCGACTTCTCGGGTTTTCCCAACATGACTCATAGCGGCTGCTGGGTATATAAGCTCTGTCTCTCCATTGAGATTCATTCTGACCATTCTTCTTGAACTAGCAACACCTCCTCCTCCGCCGCTGCCTGGCTGCCCTTCGCTTCTCCTCGCCAGCCTGGCGGACCTCGCTCCCGCCAGCGAGCATGGCGACCCACCAGCTGTCCTCTGAGCTTCCTCACCAACCAACTCTCATTCTGCCCATCTTCCTGCATCTCCAGCACCAGACTGTCTTCATATAACTTATATATTATACAAGAAAACCACATTAGAGTTTCCTTCCATCCTGAGTGCTAGACAACATTAATATCTCGATACCCCTACAAAGTGACACCCATCGCAGACTTCCATGGTCGGAAATGAATTTGAATTTCAAAATATGACCCAAAATAAAAATCGAATTTGATTGGACCAAAAATACCGCGAATTGAATCACACTTACAGACAGATCATCAATGCCATCTGCTACAGGAACATACATGCAATTATTTCATGTTAAAAAATGGATCCAAGACTTTATAAGAATGCATGAAATGCTATGTATAGTACTATCCTTATATGATACTTGCATATTATTGATCTCTGTTACATTTTAGGTTTTGCAAATTGCATTTATAAATGAGAAAAAATAAGAATAATTATTAAACTTTACCTGAATGTGACGCCCACTCATCTCATGGTCTTGGTGTAAACCAACAACAGACGACCAGCGGCCGCGCCTTGCACACTACCGCTATCTGTTTATCCCGCCGCCAACTATATGCAATGTGGCTTACGCGGTTTTCGCCTTGGTTTTCTGACCTTTTATATAGTCTTTGGTTACAAGGAAGGTATCTTCCTTGATATTCCTTTGGAGTGGGAGATATTCCTTGGTGAGATAGTCTTCTGCTAGCCTACAGTATATGCTGAACGGCTGAGGCGAGATGGCGTTAACAAGACTTTTTGCTCAGGTGAAACTTGATTTATGTTTATTTAGAAGGTTGTGTTTAGTTAGACACTAATTTAGACGTAACTATGGGTACTTATATAGTGATTTTTGTTAAGAAGTGGAGGATGACATTGATCACTAATAAATACCCGGCTGTGTTGGCTCTATAAAGTGAAAAATTATTTCCTATGTAACATCCGTTAAAATCTCAGAATTTGGCCGAAATGGCTATTTTGTTGTACCTAAAGTCAATAAGACTTCTTAGTTCATTTTCGTTTTTATCCCATTTGGTATTTCGGATTTTTTTTTACCATTATCACTAGGGTCCGACTAATTACCCAAATGTACCCAAATATAGCCGGAATGAAGTCAAATAATGGTCCTACATGAATAAATCGGACTGCCAATCACTTCTCGACTAGTATTTGGTGTCACAAAGTCACAAAAAATTGGTAAACTTAATTTAATCTGAGTTAATAGATCAAGTGCATGTACCTAACCTAACCTAACCTAACCTAACACAACACAACTCAGATTAAATTAAGTTTACCAATTATTTTTTACTTTATGACACCAAATAATAATCGAGAAGTGATTCACAGC